TGTGACGTCAGGCACATCATTTAAACTCTATACACACTATCTTCCTTACCTGTAAGATAGAAATAATAATAGTGCTACCTCATAGGTTTGTTACAAGGATTAAGTAGCTTCATTCACGTCAAAGAGCTTAGAACTGTGCCTTGCACATAGTAAGCACTCAACATATGTTAGCTATTATTATTGGTCCTTTAAAAATTTAATTTTTGCTGGGCATGAATATCACTTCTAATAATGATGTCAAATAAGTTAATGATAAAACTCATTACCCTGGAAACTCATTAAAATGGAAAAGGTGAAATAAGTGGTGATAAAACAATCTTCTCACACAGTATGGTCTGGTAGTCTGCTATGAAAATGAATAATTGACACGTATTAAATTAAACGAAGAGGCTCGTGTTTATATTTTGAAAGTTCTAGTTGATTATGTGTTCATTAAACATTTACTGAACATTAAAAGCAAAAGTTTATTGACATGTTTTCTACCTTTGACAACAAAAGAGGAAATGGATCCAGAACTGCTATTCATATATTTTCATCTGCTTGGCAGGGACATAGCAGCAATTTTGGGATATGAGCAGTGTTTCAGGGCAGAAAGATTGAATAATCATGGTTACAGGGAGGTCTGCTTAGGTGGAGCAGAACCCTGGTCCAAAGGTGGGGGTAGAGGAGGCAGGGTCTGACTCTTGAGGATTATTGGGGAGTTGGCAACTAGATGAAGGTTCAGAATAGGGCAGGGCTCAACATCACAGCTGGAAAAGAAAACTAGGTACCAAATCAAAGGCTTTCTCATGTTACTCTGGGCAGCTACATTATGAAATGAGGCTGTCGTTCAGTGGGTACAGTGGCTACTGGATTTAGGGAAAGCAGATTTATTCTAAATCCCTACCAGTTGGGAAGTAGCTCTGGCCTGGTTCTCACCTGGTGAGAAGCAGGGCAGTGTGGGCAGTGGGAAGCCATCCTTGTAAGCTGAGAGTCTCAAAAGCCAGAGCTGGCATAGTCAGCAGTTTATGAATACTGAATGAAGCATGATTAAATTCACACGAATATTGTACTGCAAAGTAGTCACCTTGGAAGGTTATATGCTGATGTAAATTACGCTATCAGTGTTCAAAATATTTTGGAATTGCCTTCATATGTATCACCAAGAAAACAGGTATCATTATGGTATCACTCAGTTTGATTATACAACAGATTTGTCTCCAAGTGATTTCTAGATGTATCTAGATAACACATCTACTTTCAAAAAATGAAGATTTGCTACTTTGAGGAGATTCAAAAGAATGTGCTACAGGCCTCAAGGCGATTCTAAAAGAGTATTTTCAAAGGTAATTTGAGCAATAGCAACAGCAAGTGGATAGACTCCCAAAGTGACTGCTTTAAAGGGGATGCCCATTCTTGGGATGTATGTTTGAGTATATAACAAAGCATTCACAATAATTTATAGTAACACTTTATATATCTGAAGCACATTAGGAATTAGACTTCTTAAATTCCAAATTAGGCCGGCATAAAATGGCATAGATTCGTATGTAGCTAAATGGGCATAGAGATGTCATAATGAAATTGGCACTTGAGCAAAAATAGTTTTTACCATATCAACTGTATTAATAACCTGCAAACACAAAATAAGAAATCAATAAATGCTTGTTGATATAATATTTTGAGAAATAAATGAATCACCAGTACTTTGCGAATAACTAATTAAATAGTTCAAAGGATCAAGAGAAAAACAGTTATGTGAATTTTTGGAAAAAAATATTCTAAATTTAATGGAAATGCAGATTCTACCATCCTTTTTAGAAGTCTAACAAGTTAAGAATAATTTATTAAGCTTTATTGAAAACATTTATTTGACAGAAACAGATCAATTGGACAAACTAAAGAAAGATGCCTTTTTACAAACTGTGCAGTGTTATTTATTTGTAGGGCTGTCTTTCACTTGTAAATTTGATATACATTAGGTTCGTCTTAAGCCTGGGAACCAAGGTCCTTTAAGATACCACCCCAACCTAATTTTCTGCAGCTTCCTATTTATTTTCCTACAAGCAATTTGTGTTCTGTTAAAAACTGAATTGCTTATTAAACATACCCTATGGGGTGTCTGGGTGGCTCAGTTGGTTAAGCATCCAGGGTCTTGATTTAGCCTCAGGTCATGAAGTCAGGGTTGTGGGACTGAGCCTCTGTCTGGGCTCCCAGCTCAGGGAGGAGTCTGCTTTGGAATTCTTTCTCCCTCTTCCTCTGCCCCTCCCCCCCCCCCAAATAAGTAAAATCTTAAAAAAAAACCCAACCCTATAATCTCCTGCCTTTGTACCTTAGAATGTTTTTTTTTTTTTGCCTATTCAGTGTAGTGTAGTGATTAAAAAAAAAAAAGAAGAAGATTCTAGAGCGACACTGCCTGAATCTGGCATTACCACTTAAATAGGCCAAGAATAAATTGAAATTAAAGAAAATTTAAGTAGTAATTTCATTAAAAACAAAATATATTATTAAATCGATTTGAGATTTGGTTCTTAGAAAATAAATTTTCGGGGCGCCTGGGTGGCTCAGTTGGTTAAGCGACTGCCTTCGGCTCAGGTCATGATCCTGGAGTCCCGGGATCGAGTCCCGCATCGGGCTCCCTGCTCGGCGGGGAGTCTGCTTCTCCCTCTGACCCTCTCCCCTCTCATGTACTCTCTCTCTCTCATTCTCTCTCTTTCTCAAATAAATAAATAAAATCTTAAAAAAAAAAAGAAAATAAATTTTCTAAGCCCTTTGTTTTTATTTCTCTCATTCTCCTTTGCTAGTGAATTCCAAAGGCAGCATTTTCTGGATAGAGCCTATGATTTGCCCACATCAACTTGAGTCCTTAGGGCCTTCATACATAAAGGTGTGATTGGGGGAATCTCTCTTGATACTAGTCACAAAGAGCTAAAGAGACAGACACTTCAGAAACAGCTCACTACGGAAACACAGAAACCAGTTAGGGACTAAGCAAGCTCAACCAGGATGGCTCCAGACCTAGGCACTGAAGCAGTATCAGTAACCAGAGATTAAGTCAGACTCTGGTTGTGAGGGCTGGGGTCGTGCCTTCTATTTCATTTGCCTCCATCCACAGTGTCAGTAGGGATAGCTCTTTGACTTGAATTAATTGGAGAAAAATCTAGGTGAAATTAGTGAAAATCCTGAATTACAAACTATTCAAAAGGAAATATTTTCTTAATTCAAGTATATGTAGTAAGTAAAACCAGGGTAATAAAGAATCACAACATATATCCTTTGGGAACTTGTTTAACAGGTAAACACATACCCCTATGTAAAGTACTGTTTACAGCTGAATGATTTCAAAGTATTCAAAATCCATTTACTCTGTTAAATAAAGTTGGCATTTCTTCTGCAACTTTATTTACATGATTCTTATTTAGCAATTCCTGTATTAAAATTCTTCTGAAAACACAAAAGTAAACATCATCTCTGCCCTATGTCTGAATTAAATTGCAGTATACTGGCTAATTTATTTTTTTACATTTTTGACAGCTATACGCATCAATGATTATTAAAAACAATTCATTTTTGACTTTGTCTTTATAATACCAAGAATGATTTCCTTTTTTAGGAATGTCATAAAATGTACCAAATCATAAGTAACTATGAGGACTTAACAGGGTTTTTCTTACAAATTTAAAATATATTTAATAGAATGTGATTTTTGGAAATACCTGGAATATTTCATAAATGACCTTCTTTTGATTTAATACTTCCTCTATTATTCTTTATTTTAGACAAACTTAATACACTTGGCAGTAATTTTTGTTTCTCTCTCTCGTTCTCATACTCCACCTCTATCTAAAAAGGAGCTGAGACAGCAAATTTTCCTTCAGTACTTTGAAATTTTCTCCCGAAGTCAACAGGCCTGTTTTGATTTCTTTGGGAAACAGTCTCTGTTCTGAATCCTTGTCACAACAGGAAGCTCTTAGAAGAAATGACCCCTAACTCTCTGGTCAAATTCTGTTCTCTCCCCATACGCAGATTTTATTTTTTGACCCCGTTTCTTACCTTTTGACAGGTACAGTCAGTCTCGCGACATATAATACTTACTCTCCGATCAACCGTCGGTGAGTAGCAGCCTCGGTAACGTAAGTACTAGTAGTCTTTGCACACGACGCTTTAGCCCACTCAAGTACAGTCCGACTGCGTCTCAGTCCTCAACGGATCTGACCAACGTCCGTTGGAACCCTCAGGTCACAGAGTTCACATTCTCTCACACAGGACATTGTCCACGTAGAAAGTGGCACCCGCCATTTTCTTTTTCAGTTTGAACAGCGTTATACCCCTTAAAAAATTATATCCCAACAAAGGCACTCTGGATAAATCATGCCTGTACATGTAAAACAGAAGGAACAGTGGGTGTTCCAATTGAAGCACCCAAATCTACCTATAAGGACACAGTTTTCACTTTCAAATTAGTGTTAAAACCATTAAGTGTGTGTGAGTTGACAAAGGCATTGGGAAGCCTTCATGGGTCCATTTTGGCCTTCAGACGGTCGAACAGCATCTATTCCCCTGTGTGGTAAAACTGTCCCATCTCTCACTCACATCCTGAATAGGCTGAGTTTTGTTAAAGCTGCCTCCTGCTTCTAGTGTCTAGGGCAGGGGAACTGAGGGACAAGGTCTGTACTATTTGCGACTTGTGGCTTTTTTGGGGTATCTTTCAGAGTCGTAAGTACTCTAGAGTTTTCCCTAGTTTTCCCGATAGCCAGGACATTTGAGGACCCTTTCTTTCCCCTTCCTAAGGTTCAGGTTTCCTCACCTGGGTCAGTTTTCGGGTCGCTGGCTGGGCTCCGAAAATAGACAGCTGAGAGCTCTGCGTCTCTCTGTTGCCTAGGTAACAATTTTGTTGCCCCCTCCACCCACCACCTCCGGGTTCCCGCTTGACTTTCCTGGCCAATCACAGAGGAGTTTCCTTTGAAACAGCACCGGAATCAACCAATCCGAGCGCGTGCCAGTCAGGGTCAATGGCCGCCCTCTCGAGTTAACTAGGTGGACCCCAGTTGAGCGTCTCTCCGTTAGCGTCACTCCAGCAGCAACCTGCCCGCGGTAGAGGCCGTTTTTTGTTTTTTTGTTTTTTGTTTTTTTCTGCTCATATTAGGCCCAGGCCCGCCTCGCCGGCCGCAAGACAGTCTCGGAGGTCCTATCCATTTACTTTGGGTCCCTGACGGCGAGCGGCGGCGGCAGACACCAAGGTAAGTTTGCGGGGTTTTCGTTTGTCCCAGTCCTCTGCAGGCTTGCTCATTACGCTTTTCCTGCACGTGAATTCCAAACCGGACAGCTGCTCCCGTGGATCCGGGACAGCCGGGGTGGAAGGATAGGCTTGGTGGCCCGGGGAATGAGGTTTTGCTGCAGCTCTGCACGCGCTCCCCACGCCCCCTCCCCTCCCCGCCCCGCGACAGCGACACGTGTTGTGGTTCCGTCCCGGCTCGGCGTCTGTGTGCGAGTGTGTGTATGTGTGTGTGTGTGTGTATGTATGTATATGTGTATATACCCGCGCACCCAGGTAAGGCGGTATCGCGCTTTTCCTCAGCCCAGCTTGTGTGTGTGGGGAGGGGGCGTGTAGGGTAGGTTAGGATCGCGCTTTTCCTTAGCTCAGCGTGTGTGTGTGTGTGTGTGTGTGTTGGATCGTGCTGCTTTTCTCAGCTCAGCGTGTGTGTGTGTGTGTGTGTGTGTGTGTGTGTGTGTGTGTTGGATCGTGCTGCTTTTCTCAGCTCAGCGTGTGTGTGTGTGTGCGCGCGCGAGGGGCGTGTTTGTGTGTAAGGTGGGATCGCGCTTCTTTTCCTCGGCTCAGCGTTTGTGTGTGTGTAGGGTTGGGATCTCACTTCTTTTCCTCTGCTGTGGGCAAGACTTCTGGGCCTGAACCCCTGGGGGGAGCATCCCTGCGGCCGCCAGAGCTACAGTCCCACTCCCAGTAACACAGAGGACCCAGTGCCCTGCTTTTCCCGCCTTGGAGTGGAGAAACGCAGACGCGCCGCCCGCTTGCCACTGCTTGGCAATCTGAGTGTCTTCACTTCACCTAGAGGTACAGTTCTGATACTGGTTTTCCGTGAATTCCGTGGTTTGGTTTTAAACAAAAGGGAAAAAAAGCGGGGGGGCTGGCTTTATAAGCATTTGGAGTTTTCGGAACTGATTAGTTGTGTTGGATAGTGGAGCCCCTAATTCATTATTTGAGTGTTGTAAGCAAAGAGAGATAGGATGGCTTTAATGGATGGTTACTTCTGGTTATCCAGGGGTTGGAATTCGATTAATGAGTTAACTAAATTGCTTTCCTTCTTTTGGCTATCGTGTTTTTCTAGCTTCCACTTTATCTGGTGAAGGCGACAGTGAAGCTTGAATCATTTGTCCATTCTACTTGTTATTACCACAGCAAACAAAAGAAATATTTAAGTTATTGGCTAAAAGTAAAGTTACTGGCTTTTTGGCCAAATTATGCCAAAAAACCCGTTATGGCTATAGATGATTAGAGTTTAAGTGTCTTAAATTTTGTTATTTCTCTAGAAATTTGTGGAACTTAAGTTCTATATGCTATGCTCTTTCTTGATTGCTTTTTTATTACTATTCTGCCTCATTGTGCATTATACTAAGTCATTAATGCCTAGCTAGTACTTTTCAGACCTTTTAGCTATGACCACAGTAAGAAAATAATTTTATGTTGTGGCCAAGTATATACATATACAATATATAATTGACAGCCATTTCACAAAAACAATACATAACTACATACAATTCACTCTGATAGTCTCCATTATATATATATTTTTAATGTAGACTGCAAACCACTAATGAATTCTCATTGACAGTTTGAAAAACACTGGCCTTCCATCTTTGGTTTTCAAACTTGTATGTGTTTAGGAATCACATAGGATGTTTGTCACTTTGGGGGAGGAAGAAAATTTTTCTCTGTCCCTCGAGATTCTTCTTGCTGGACTAAGACTTAAATTGACAGGAGGCGGATTAAGAGGAGAAAATCAAATTTAATTTTGTACATAAGGGGAATCTACAGACATGAAATTCCAGACAGGCAGAATGAGGTATTTAAGTCATCCTGAACTAAGGAGAAAAGGGGGTCTGGGATTTCAAAGGGAAGGAACACAACTCACAAGAAGATGAAAAAGAATAAATGTTTGGTAAACGAAAGTTTGCTGGGCCATTCAGAAACTGTAGGACATAGAGAGGACTTTAATCAAATAGGCTCTGCTAGGTTCTTTCTTGTCTACTATACCTAGTTCATATTATAATGTTATCTGTGGTGATAGCTCTCTTGCTGGAACAGGTCCTTTATCTAAAATCTTTTAGGCAGCTTTGGGGTGGGGGGCAGGGGGGTTCCAGTTTCTTCCTGAGTCTTTGGACTTTGTTTTCAGCTCAGCATAATCTTCATGCCAAAGTGGCTCATCTTGGGGCAGCCTGCCCTTGGCCCCTAAACTGTAAATACAGATTTCCCTGGCTCCAGGAACTGGTTCTGTGTGTCTATGGTTGGGAAGGTGGTTCATATAACATATTTGAAGTGCTTGGTAGAGTGCCAGATATACAAGTATTCAATAAATAATAATTTACTTCTTGGGAAACACATGCTATTTATTTTGGGGGATATAATTGCCTCTTCAAGGTTTGGCCTGCCCCTAGCAAGGTGGAATCCGATACTAAGCACTATTTTCCCCAGGTTTTAGGAGGTAGGAAAGTAGGGGATGAGCCCTGGATCTGAGATGAATCTTGCAGTACTTGACTTCCATGGAGGATTTTGTAAATACAGAAACTTAGGGATAGAAGAACACAGACATTATAGCATTTCAGTGATTAGTCCAGGATCACATTGTCAGTAAATGAATCTCAGAGATAGAACTCACTTAATAAAGTCTAATATTCTTGATAGCAGGTCTGATCTAGAGGCAGAAGTTGAAATAGGAAGAGAGCTTCTCTTGACTTGCAGAGGCTATAGAATTTCTGGCTTTTGACTACTGACTTGGCTTTAATGAAATGAAACTTGAGAGATCTAAAAAGTAAAAAAAAAAACCTAAAAGTTTTTGTGGGTTATAGCTATGAAAAAGGGATTTAGTTTGCCTAATTCTTGTATAATATGTAGAACAACTGTCTTAAAACACTAGTTATTTATTAAGCCAGCATTAAAATAAATTAAATAAAAGATTTTATTTATGTATTTGAGAGAGTGAACCAGTGAGAGAGCACAAGCAGGGGGAGGGGCAAGGGGAGAGGGAGAAGCAGACTCCCTGTTCAGTAGGGAGTCTGCCCACTTAGGCTTGATCCCAGGACTGCGGGATCATGACCTGAGCCAAAGGAGGGCAGATGCTTAACTGACTGAACCACCCAGGCACCCATATGTACCCATATTTTTAAATTATCTTACTGCTTGCTTATATAAGTTTTGTTCCTTTTATTTAATACTGTTCTGGGAATTTTTTCTATGTGGTTGATAGTTTTCAAAATTTTATTAGTGATAGCATCCTAATGTTCCATAGAGTGAGATGGCCATAATTTACTCAGCCTAACTAATCCAACAACAGAACATTTATTTCCAGTAATTCCATGTTATCAGTAACATGGCATACTTCTCTGCAAGTCAAGAGAAGCTCTCTTCCTATTTCAACTTCTGCCTCTAGATCTGACCTGCTATCAAGAATATTAGACTTCATTAAGTGAGTTCTATCTCTGAGATCCATTTACTGACAATGTGATCCTGGACTAATCACTGAAATGCTATAATGTCTGTGTTCTTCTATCCCTAAGTTTCTGTATTTACAAAATCCTCCATGGAAGTCAAGTACTGCAAGATTCATCTCAGATCCAGGGCTCATCCCCTACTTTCCTACCTCCTAAAACCTGGGGAAAATAGTGCTTAGTATCGGATTCCACCTTGCTAGGGGCAGGCCAAACCTTGAAGAGGCAATTATATCCCCCAAAATAAATAGCATGTGTTTCCCAAGAAGTAAATTATTATTTATTGAATACTTGTATATCTGGCACTCTACCAAGCACTTCAAATATGTTATATGAACCACCTTCCCATGTAAAGTTTGAGTTATTTAAAATCATTTATATAACTTTTACCTTCCATTAAACTCAAGAGGAATCCTAACAGGAAGGCCAGGGATCTGGACCTGAGATGCTAGTTTTTGGCCCCAATTAGATGTATGAATTTACCCATCTTAAGTTTCTGTTGCTAGAGCAGCAGTTATCAACCATGATATCTATTGTACATGTGAATTAGACTGAATGTATTTTTTGAGTAGTAAGTATAGAAATTTTCAAATGATTTACTTTAAAAGATATATGAATCATAGCAGATTCAAGCAGATTCAAGTGCCATAATAACACTCATGCTGATTAGCTTTCTTTATGAACATCTTTTCCAAAGATTATATGAGTGTGTATTCATTTGTAATTAAAAATTTTTTTATAAAGGAGCCAATTAAGATGACTGGGAGAATAAAAGCTATAATTGGCCTTTATTAGCACATCTCCCTTTTCAAAGTGCACATATTGTCTTATTTTCTGTCATTCTAAACATTAACTAGTCCTTTTTAAAATTGTATTTCAGACAAAAGTACAGAGACTATTCTACACCATCATCCACATACCTACCAAAGATTTAATGGTTGTTAACATTTTTCCATATTTTCTTTAGGTATTGTTTTTTAAAGAACTAAAACATTATATAGCTAACTCTTTATACCCCTTCCCAGTCTCATTTCTTTCCGATCCCAGAGATAATTGTTCTTCTGAAGTTATGTATTTTTCCAATCTATGTTAAGTGTGTTCAAATATAAATGGCCATAAATGATTTGTAATCGATTCTTTTTTTTTTTTAAAGATTTTATTTATTTATTTGACAGAGACAGAGACAGCGAGAGCAGGAACACAAACAGGGGGAGTGGGAGAGGGAGAAGCAGGCTTCCTGCTGCGCTGGGAGCCCAATGTGGGACTCGATCCCAGGACCCTGGGATCATGACCTGAGCCGAAGGCAGTCGCTTAACCAACTGAGCCACCCAGGCGGGCGCCCTGTAATCGATTCTTTTTTAAAAGAGATTTTATTTATTTATTTGAGAGATAGAGCGCACAAGCAGGGGGAGCGGCAGGCAGAGGGAGAGGGAGAAGTAGGCTCCCCACTGAGCAGAGAAGCCAACATGGGACTCGATCCCAGGACCCTGGGGTGATGACCTGAGCTGAAGGCAGACTC